ATCTATAATAACAAATTCAACATGCTAGCATTGTTCAAGTATATGTATAGCCTGTACGTCCTTAAGCCAAACTTCATTTTGGCTTTAGTAAAATAACGAATAATCAGAAACGGTAATATTGATTTACCTCGTATTTCTTCTTATCGCACACAATATAATACGTGATTAAAAAGAGAAAAGTTGCATGTACAAATGTGATCACAGTGGTCTCGCGGTCACATAACTAAATAGTTACTAACCGTTACGCGCGCACTGCACGAGCTTCATTGTCAGTGTTCGCCCGCGAGATTTGCGGGCTTTTGAGCCGCATCGCGGCATGGGTGTGTGTTTCCAGGGCACGGCAGGCCCCTCCAGTATGAATCTTGTCCCCCCAGCCCCCCAAAACGGTGCCCAAATCGGGCCGAATGATTCCATTGGACGCTACTCCAAGGTACCTAATCATATCATCTAACTGTGATTAAAAACCTAGCCTGCTTTGACGGCACTGTAAATAACGGCACAGATCAGAAAGTGTTCGGCATGATTACTTGTAAAATACTTCGTCAATTCTTATTCAATCTATTCGAAAATTGTAACATACGTGCAGTCCGAGATATCAAAGTATGAAATCTTGGAATAGGTATCCTTTAGAGAGCCAGAGGACGGTGAGCTTTGGTCGACGGAGAAGCAGAACACGCCGACTCAAGCTGCTAGCCAGCGACAAGAGGTGACAGTGAAAGCTCAGATTCATCGGTCGCAGAGTCCACCGCGGAAGAACGCTGAAATTGTTAGGAAGACGAGTGTGGAATACGCGGTGAGGAAAATCAGCGTCGAGAGGAAAGTGGGCGAAAAGAAATCGCCCGGTGCGACGGATGCCAAGAGGCCGAGTTCTAATAAGAGCAACGTGCAAAGTAATTTTACGAACGTGCTGAGCGAATTGAAGAATCGTAAAAGTAGCGTCGACAGCAATTTGTCGAACTCTAGTAACAACAAGGGAGTTCCACCCCCGCCGCCTATGCCGCCGCCCTTGGAATCCCACGATCCATCAGAATCGAGGCCTTTCTTAGATCCTTACGGAAGGGCCAAAACCGTTCGAATAGGCAAATGGAGGTAAGTAATAAAATAATAAAAAATTATCTACATTTTACTAATATTTGATATTAATTCCAGATGGCCTCCGCCGAGCGACTCGAACGAAAATCAGAGCCAAGACAGCTTTATAGAATTTAAAATGCGGCAGCAGCAGCAACAACGGAAAATCACGCCGCAGTATCAAGAATATAATCAAGGCGACGGTGAGCCGAGCACAGAAGGTGCCGTGGAATGGGAGGAGTTCGAAATTGAAAATATTGTTGGAAACGAGGACAAAACAGTAGTGACTCACTCGTCCACTCCGATTTCCAAACATGAAAATGGGTATAAAGAAGAGGGAGAGAAAAAGAAGAAAAAATCAAAGTAACTCTTTTAAATTGTATCCGGCATTTCAACTTAAAAAATCATTCGTTAAAACTTAATTTTATTATTCAGATCCGCGTTAGAAGTCGGCGCGCAGAGACCGTCGCCAGGAAGTATAGGAAAACTGAAGCTCAGTTCAGAGATGAGGCAGAGACTGGAAAAGGTTACGGCGAATCACAGCGTCAGATCGACTAAAACCGCCGAGAAACCCGCCCTACCACGCGACGACGCTAAAGTCAAACGTTTAGAAGATAATAGGAAGCTTCTCCTCGAACAACAATTGGGTAATTGTCTAATCGATCATTCAAATGCATGGAAAATGAGTAATTGCTATTTGGTAATACTCGTTTCAAGGGGGACGATGGGACGATTACGCATCGACGGCTGACGACACGCAAAGCATTACTTCAAAAGGCACGACCGATATGATGACTCAGGCGCAAGTTGTCAGGACCCAGATCGAAAGAATGGAGAGGCCTGTGCCACCTCCGCTTCCTATTACACCTCCGCAGCCCCCGAGCCCCAGAGGCGGAAGCATGTACAGCAACAGGTATTGTTTCCTCGAGCTCAATAGTAAATTTCATTCATCCATTTAAAAACAAATGAAATGCGTAAAAAAATATCCAAAGACTTGCAAAATATTAAAAAATAAAATGTTAAAATGATTCTCGGTCTGTTAATTTCTATATTAAAATTCTCATATTTCAAACTTGGTACGAAATAATTATTTCTCTATAGTCAATCTGGAGTGCCACAGCCCAGATCGCCACCAGCCCCGGTGGAGCCGAAGGGTCGAGATTCCTTTAGAACCTCTCCAGATTCGGAAACCTTCGAGCATTTCGCGAAGAATCAACGCGACATGTTCAGCCAAAGCCGAGACATTTTCGCATCCCAGCAACACTTGCGAGAGAATCACGAGTACCGGAATGCACAGGACCAAAAATCGAAAGACTTTTACGGGAAAGACAGTACCGACATGGCCAGTTCCGCCAGAGACAGGAGCTCGGATTTCGATTCTCGTCGAGACTTCAACTCAGACATCTTCGATCCGAAATACACGAGGGACATATTCGAAAATTCTAAAAGAGACTCTTTCGGAATGATCAGGGACGTGTCTCCGAAGTCCAGAGATAGCTTCGGAATGCCGACGTCGAGGGACTTTGGCGTGATGCCCAACACGAGGGAATCGTTTGCGGCCGCTCGGCAAAGTTTCAAGAAATTAGACATGGACAGGAGATCGAGCGTGGCTTCGACTCATCGCACGGACAAGATGGAGAGGATCGAAATAGAGGAATGGCCCGAGTTTCTCAGGCCTGTAATGCCGCCGGCCGAGAAACCAGAGATCGAGAAGGTCCAGGAAGTCGTGAACACGAAACTATATCCTCAGACGTCGTCGGCTCATTTCACGTACAACCGAGTGACGTGGACGTTGAGGGTGAAGAAAGAGGTGTTCGCGCCTAACGAAACGCTCAACAGTCCCTTGGCGCTTCACTTGGTATTCTGTCAAGTCGCGTACGATGTGCTCGCCACGTCGAGCATCAGAATCACGAAGGAGGATAGGCAGAACATGCTCAAGATGCTGGATAATTATGGTGTCACTCTGGACAACTTGCAGAGTACCCAGCACAAGATTACTATCAAGAAAAATGTAGTCGATATGGCTAAACAGTGGCCGCTGTACTTCGCGAGGATATTCCCAGTGTCCGTAAGTAAAAAATTTCGGAACCTATTACAATGACTCTCATTGAATCTTTTTTAATTATTTTTGTAATCAGATTGGGCCTCAGCATCCAGAGACGCAACACGTGGCCATCTCTCATCACGGTCTGCGACTGATAAAACGCACGACAAGCGGTGACTTAGTTATTTTGGAAACACTACCATTAGAAGACATCGTGTCAGTGAGCTGCCCGAGAATCGGTGTATGCGTGTTACAAATCTCGTCGGGAGTCAGGCTACCCTTGCACACGAATCGAGCGCCGCAGTTAGCAGAGATGATTAACACCTACATCAGACTGGTAAGTAAAATCCATTTGAGCCGACATATCAAGCCAACGTCTGGCGAACTAATTATCACATCTGTTGGTTGTATTATCATATTTACTGAAGTCAGAACTAGTTTTTGCCTCAGACAGGATACGTCGAGCAAAATTCAGCAAAAAGATTCACGCGCGTTACAAATTTTTGCGGTAGACCGTGATTGACCGACTTCCACTCGTCGTTTTCTATCTGATCTCAGCCGGAAAATTTACAGAACGCTCCGTAACCGTTACTTGCATCAATCTACATTTCGCGGATACCTGTTCGCGAATAATTCCGCGTCCGGAATGCACCAGAAACGATTGATCAACCCTGAGCTTCTTTACTCTAACGGACTAACCCGATCGCTCCCGCGACGACACGGGCAGACGCCCCCCGGGGACGTTACCCCTTTACCGCGTACTTTCTTGAGGAAATCGTGGGCTCGCTTTCCGCTACCCACGCATTAAGACGGAATGCGACGTCCGTCGGACGCAGGACCCGCAGGCCCGTTCCTCCTCGTCTATCTATCCCTACAGTGGTTATTATCGTTAGCTGCTCCAACCGATTTCCACACGCGCGATCACGTTACCTCACCGCGCTATTAATTGCGCAAGACGCGAACACAGCCGCCGACCTTCGAGGATCGTGGCAATTTTCTTTTACCATAACGAGAGTAGAAAGTGACTTCCCTCGGGAAATTCAAACGGAAGGAATTAGAATACTGATTTCTCTGATCCATTAAGAAAAGCAAACGCTATCTGATTTTACTTTGGGTTAATGGGTTAAATATAAAATTCTAATTAATCATCTACAATGCAACGATTGCTTAAAATATTAGAGAGAAAGGATCGCGATGGCCTGGATTGATTAATTAGCGAGATCAATGATGCGTCAAATGAAATCGGCCTACTATCATAAAATAAGAATAGTAAATAATTAATTAATCGTTGTCTGGTATCAAAAAGGAGAATCGTTTATCTACCAATACTTAGAATGGTAACAATGAAAAATTGCTACAAGCCAGCCTTGAATAGTATTGACAGAACAAACCCGAGTTTTATGATCCATAACAAGAAACAAAAGGGTGTAAACAAAAATTTTCTACAACAGCCGGTGCAGTACGTCATAAGGAGTAATCCGATCCAGAACTAATCAATCGACGCATTAACATTCCAAACACGACTTCCCACTGAGAATCTTTAATTCCAACGAATACTTTGCTCGATCTTAATTTAAACATCGTATATTCAGCCTATCGATTCGATAACTAGCATTCCTGATATTCAAATGATTCCTGTTACGAAATATCACGGTTCCTGAACGAAGCTTATCGAACGTCACGATAAGACTACTACCAATCGTGGAACGAGACTGTACGCAACAATAGGTTGTAATCTTGTCAGGTGGCATGAATGGAATCCCGATTTAATTATCATAAGAGACCCCGTGGATCTTTCGATGCCTCGTTTAACCGTTATTTCGAAATCTCTTTCGACCCCGATCCATACTTCATCCTATCTTCTTAAAGAACGCTCGCGGTATTGAAAATTACCATTTACTACGTGAAAAGTGGAAAGCTTTATCCAGGTTTAGAGATTTATTCGATGATTCATAATTCTTTAGAAGCTTAATGATCAATTTATTCCAAGGAAACCTGCTGTTTGCCGTATGTAATCCGGCATTGAATATTAATACCGTGATATTCGTGCGACACCTCAACCTCTACACAGTTTTATTTTGCATTCACTTCGAACGTGGGACCGGTCAATCGATCGGTCCCTATCATTTTACAATGCTCCAACGATCAGCAGCGTAGCCTCTCAGAGCCCCAGACGAAGTATAAAAAAGAACCAATATTAAATGTTCTCGTCAGATAATTCCCCTAATTTAAACTGAACTTTCCATTTTCGCATGATATTGATTACGATCCCGTTTCTTAAAAGAAACTTGCAGTATTCCCATCTAAATTCGCAATTACTTTTATCTACATACACAATTATTCCTGTTTATCTCGACAATAAATACCGACAGTTATCAATATATTCTTTTATCGAGAACGTCGTCTACGCTGATGATTAGGTCGATACCTTCCTCTGAGCAGAAGGCGCGGAGAACGAGAAGGAGGAGGAGGCATTGGCCAGCATATATGACCACTCACTGGAAACGCAATTTACACTAGGCGTTGCCCGAGGTTGCCTCGTTACATTACGCAGTATCGTGCCGTTAGAATTTCCGACCCGATCGTCGCTAATTGGCGACGGTCAGTTGCGGTTCCGTCGCTCGCGCGTGGAACCATTTTACGAAAAAAAGCTCTATTTCCGTTCATCCGTGAAGGAAGCCGCACGCGCAAGGAATTTCCTCGTGACACATTTCCCCCGCGCTTTTTATATTTTATCATTGAACGAACAGTTGTACAAGAAACGCAACGCTATTTGTTTATTTTTACGACAGCTGCCTTTCCAGATTGTTGCCTTTTTAGTTCTGACTTAAAGCTCCGGATTCCGGAATAGGTCGTATTATAAGATCTGGGCTGTATGAATAAGAATGGAATTTACTGACCATGATAACCGTTTCTGGAAATGGGCACTGCTCGTTCTACTTTTCTCAAATTTTCTGACGTTCTAGAGAACAGAATGAATCCCTTATTAATTTCCTTCCGGTGATTTAAGAAAACTATTGCAAGCAACGTTGCACTGTGTCGTCACAGTGCAGACATGACAAAAGAGGTAGACAACAATTTGTTACCGGTTTTACACCTTTCAAATGTCGCTGTCCACAGGTGAAGTCTTCTACTAGAAGACTTTCACTGCGATCCCATCGTTGCACGTCTGTCGCAATTTAAACACTGTCATAACTGTCATTACAGTCGAACAAATATTATAACGATATGAATCTCAAATTATCTTCTGTGCAATCGTATTCGTATTTTGAAACGAAACAATGTTTCATTTCACTAGAGACTAAATGTAAACCTCTCTCCGTTCGGACGGGAGACAGTCCTCGCAATTTGCTATGCGGTTCGCAGTCGCATTATATCCCAATCACATCCTAGCATTCCGAAGACAAAGAGAACGAGGAATCCCAGTCGACGCGGAGGAAACGTCGCGTCGATTCGTCTTACCTCCCGTTTCTTACCTCGCCGCACACGTAATAAAGAATCCCCGGCCAATTGTAAACACCTCGTCCCTACGCGCAGGTGTATCGTTGCCACGGTGCATACGTTACGAGAAATCGGATCTCTCCGTTCGCAGGTTTCTCCGTGGCGTAAAAAAAAAATCGGCTGTCATACCGTCCCGGTGTAATTACACGAGGAGGGATCGAACCGGTTGGGGGTCAAACGATTCGCCTTCCGCGCGCGATGAAAGTTACCATACTTTATTCGGTAGGGTTCCTCGAACAGACCCGACTACATTCTCACTTGACAAACTCGACAAATTCCTAATTGGATCGTTTCTTAACCAGGCATGCCTTACGCGAATTCCACAAACGAAATACAAAACGAGTTCTCCTTCACCCTCCCAAATACATAATAATTATACGTTCGATGTATATTTCACGGATATTCAACGTAGTCTATTAATCAGAAACTTTGCACTTGTTAATTAGACTGTGTAACCAGAAACTTATCATCTACGAACAAGTTCGTTATTCCCCTTTAACAAATTTCTGTAAAATGTTTTATGTATTATACAGAATTCATTTATATATTAACAGGATGTCGAAAGAGCTATCTCTAATAATTGTTCATCGCAGCGGATCGAAAATACATAATTATCGTCTAAAATGTATCACTAATTAAGCTTGTTCAAAATTTCACCTAAAACCTTTAATTTCCTCCCTGCGCGTTTGCGTATCGGATGCACACGGCTGCGCGCATGTTCATACGCTCGTCAGAAGCCGAATAACGATCAGCCGCGTCTGCTCAGGCTTCTTTCGACCGATTCCAGGGTTCAAGCAACTCTTCTGTTTACCAGAGGCAACACCTTCCTTCTCGTGGAGAACGCCGGAAGCCGTTTGAATTGCTAATGACCACGGCAACGATCGTTATCTGGCTCTGACACTCGCTGCCTGGCCTAAATTCCCTGCCCGGTGTCCTTCCCGAATTTTCACCCGCTCTGACCCCTCCCCTACCTCCAGTGAATGAACCCTCGTGCTTTGTTCTAAGTCGAGTGCCATGAAAAGTCTCGTACCACAATTTATTATATTTTTCCAAATTAAGGATTCTTCTTGTCTTGTGTACGACAATTTTATTCAATTAATGAGTCATTGAGTCAATTAGAGTTTATTCAATTAATGAGTCTTCTATCATTGATTGTTTAATCCTGTATATCAAGAGTTAATCTTATATCAAGAGATAGTGTCGAGAAGAAATTCTTGGTGAAGCAAACAGCATTTGTCAGATATATGAAATAATAGCAGTAATCTTCTTAAACGGTTTCACTTTCAAACGTGTCTTCGGCTTTCGTTCTCGAAACATCAAGTGTCGCAAGTGAAGCTGGTCGTTTAAAGCAAAAGAGTTACGACAGATTAATCGAAATGGAGATATCTGGCTCGATAGGACAGGGGAGGAGTTTTCCGAGAGCCAACTGGTCTTTCTGGTAACGAAAGGTACAGTCGCCTTTTACAGTTGCCAGCTCGATTCAGGGAAAACGTTTCGCGGCGAGATGCAAAAAGAAGTTGAAAAATGCAGCCCGGCTAGAAAATTGTTAAGCAGGAAGAACGGCGGGCGAGAAAGCGTTGAAAACGTTTCACGATGAGTCGCGGACGGAAATTGGATCGAGTTTCCTTAAAATGGAAGCCAACGAAATCGCTACGTCATCAAACTTGAGAGAAGCCACTTGGCTCTCTTAGACTATACAATTTCATATTAATTTGGAACTCCAATAAGAATTCGACACTTCTAATTCTAATTACCCGGTTTCGTTAGTATTCCCTAATTGTACATTTCGAAATTCATTTTAATTAGCTCCTGATTGCACGGTTACTCAACGACGTG